TGATAATTATTTTTTAAGCTTTGAATAATGATGTCTTTATTGTGAATATTTGATATTATCAAATGTAGAAGAAAATGTTACTCTGTACTAAGAAATCCAGGTTTTATCATAAACATGTATGTTTGTGTTCTATGAATTCAAAAATGTCATGATTAGATTAAATTTGTAAAGAATGTTTAAGTTTGCTTCGAAATACTTACATAATTATGCAATTTTGAATTGTTGTAGAGACATAGGGGTCTTAAGTTGTGAAACTGTCCTGCCAGCTTGTGTTGTATCAAGATGCATGTTCATGTATTAAATAATGCAGTGAGTATCATCACAGGATCCCCCCTCTTGTCAGTAAAAGTCTGTAAATGACCAATGCTATCTTGGTTTGTCTTAAAACCTTAAGACATTTACCAAGGACATCAAATATTTTTTTAACTATTTCTGAACATTATGTGAATTTGTTTTAAGAAGCTAGGTATACAAGTGAAACAGACAGTGAAGTAATTTTCTGTATCAAGAGTATATGACAGGGAATTAGTAAGACCAAAGATCAAAACTTTATTTTATTTTTTACACCGCTTTTTTCTTTTTCAATTAATACTTTAGAATATTAAATTGTTTGGCCCACCAAATGAAGTTTTAGGAGGTGTATAAGGGTGGGCTTGTTGTTCTGTTTCATGGTTTCTGGATGATAAGTTAAGAATGATGAGATGTTGTACTGAAACTTGGTGTATAGCAAGCTTACATGTATGTGAGACCGAACTTTGAGATCACTTTAAGGTCCAATAGAGACCTTAGAGAAATAGAGGTGGAGCTTAAGTTTGTTTATAGACCACTAATATTACACATAGTTAAAGTGGTGGGTGGGGCATAAATCACCTTCACAGTGATAGCTGTAGTTTGATACTGCTATCCATGTAAAAAGACCAATAACTTTGTAGCTGTATATACATGTACAAAAAATTATCTACAAAATTAATTTAATATGAAATATACAATATTTTGCTTTTTTTCTTCCTTAGTACTAGTATTATTTGGGCAACTTTAAGTTGTATCCGTCCCTTAACTCTTTGTAAAAAATTGTAAATAGACTACTAAACATGAAATCAGGATGTTTTTATGCTTCGTTTTGTTCTAGTAAGTGTGAATGAGGTTTGTTAGTCTAATGTGTTGTTTTTGTATTCACTCAGCACTTTTTTACTTTGTTATCGGACTGCTTATTGTGTAATTATAAACATTTAATGATATGATTTTCTAACCACTACTTACAGTATATAATTATATATCTGTTCTTAAAGTTGAACATTTTTTAGAGGCAGCCAACTCCCTAAATTACTGTTTTTCAGACGTGTATTCATATTTAAGAAAGAGTGAATATATTCATATTTCAGGAAGAGTTAATGTATTCATATTTCAGGAAGCGTTAATGTATTCATATTTCAGAAAGGGATAGACAATCATTGATTGGTGTATGAATGTTTTTTGTGACAATATTGAAATCAACTTTCTTGTGTAATTATTGTCAAACGATATAGTAAATATTTGAGATGTGATATCATATTATTCATCATTATTCCATGTTAAATAACCCATTGACACTTTATTCACTGTGTGATGTTCTTTATATTTAATAGCTCTTGGGTTGGTAATTTTATTTATTTAAGATTGTAGAAACCTGTTGAACATGTTAGGGAGGAACAAATTTCTTTATTTTAATAAAGTTGTGCATACATAGTTAAAGTTACTATAAAGCAATGTTTGTATTGCAAAAATTCAGAATACTCTTTGTATAATTGATGTACTTATTATGTGAATCTGCTGTAAACATACAAAAATAGAGAGAAAAATCAACCTTCAAATAACTACATGTACTTTTGATATGCTACAACCCCGTTAAAATATGAATTAGGGACATTGGATTCTCTCATCTGGGGAAGGTATGTAAGCATACTTAAGAGAAAGTTGATGGTTATACTGGGTACTTGGGTGCCCGTTTGTGCCTGAAATAATGCATGATAGGGTGCCCAGGTCGTCCTCCATCAGTAAAGCTGGAAAGTGGACTTAACCATTTTACTGTGACTTAAAGGGACTCCACTGAGGTATTTTGACATGATGGGACTGAAAATATTTTTTCCAGATAAATGTACCATTTGATGTAGTTTTAGACCACTAATCTTTGTGCAAACTTTCAGATCATTCGCGCACTTCGTTTTTCCAGAATAATTATTCAAACTATAAAAAGATGACCCAAAATGAAAAGCGTTTAAACGCTTTTCACTCAAATCGGGCTAAAAAAGCATGAAAATACGTTCAATTTATTTCAAATTATATTTCTAAACTATCTTTGCATATATTTCTGTTTAAAGTGCCCCAGCTCATTTAATAATATAACAAATTCAAATGTTATGTTTTTAGGTTTTAAATCCTTCAAAAACAAATATAGACCTAACCTGAGCTTCGGTGTACCTTCCGTTATATAGATTTATATAGGTACATGTATAGCTTTCTGAGATATTTATGGTAAAAGCTTAGAAAAAATAGATGTCCCAGAGCTGAAATGTTTGATATGCAGTGCCGTCTAGTTGGTTTTTATAAAAAACTTTTATAGGTTAGGATCTTTGGGTCCAGAAGAACATTTTATTTATTGGTGTGATCAATAAATTCTACTTTTGACTCTAGATAATCAACTTCTATTTATTCAGGTGAGCGATAAATATCTGATTGTGACTCTTTTTAGCTCGACTTTTCTATGAAAAGGGGAGCTATCCTACTCGCCCCGGCGTCGGCGTCGGCGTTAGCGTCGGCGTTGGCGTCACACCTTGGTTAAGTTTTTCGTACCACCCCACTTTATTTCAGAAGTATTACAAGTATGGCTTTGAAACTTACCATACTTGTTCACCATCATAACCTCCATCTACAGACAGGAGTACATAACTCTGTCAAGGTTTTTGACAGAATTATGGCCCTTTTTTGACTTAGAAAGTGTATTGAGCTTGGTTAAGTTTTTTGTACCACCTCACTTTATTTCAAAACCATTGGAGGTATTGCTTTGAAACTGACCATACTTGTTTACCATCACGACCTTCATCAACAGACAAGAGGACATAACTCTGTCAAGGTTTTTGACAGAATTATGCCCCTTTTTGACTTAGAAAATACATTGAATATGGGTAAAATCCACTTATTGCCTTAACCCTTTGAGATATTGCTTTGAAACTTTTAATGCTATTTCACATCATTACCCCCATCTGTACGCAAGAGAAGGTAACTCTGTCAGGGATTTGTTTTAAAAATTAAGGCCTTTTATCGACTTAGAATCTTGGTTAACTTTTTTGTACCAGTCAACTTTTTGACTGAACTGGTTGAGATATTAAATTGAAAGTTGGAATACTTGTTTACCATCATGGTCCCAAAACATGGGCAGGAGAAGGTAATTCTGTTAAGGATTTTATTTGAATTATGGCCCTTTTTGACTTAGAAACTCAGTTAAAATTTTCATTCTTGTCCACTTGTTGACTTAACCATTTGAGATATTAGTTTGGAAGTTGGAGTTCTTATGTGCCATCATGAGACCTATCTGTAAGCAAGAGAAGATAACTCTGTGAAAATGTTTCTTGATTTGTACTTAGAAATTCCTAGTTAAAGTCTTGTGTGCCCTTAACTGTCAAAGTTTTGTTTTATAGGCAAGCACTAAAAAAGTCGAGCGCGCTGTCCTTCTGACAGCTCTTTTTTTGTTGTGTTGACACATTCTCAGAATTATGTTAAATACTTTCATTATGTATCAAATAAATCTTTATTATGGTAGATTTTAGTCTTGTTTCTTTAGTTAGCCGATACACAATTCTATGCTGTCACATTTACAATTATAGAGTGGTATCTGTATAATTCAATATGTAACAGTCTGCTACAGTGTCCCAGAAAATTCCTTATTTGATACAATGTCGTATTCAGATTTCGGCCTGTAGAACGTTATTCCACTTTGGATTAAGGCTTGTGCTAGTTCTTTGATGTTCGGTGGTAGGACTCGCTGGTCCAAATTATCCGGCACGTGTTCGAGCGGATTCAGATCTCGACTATTGGCTGCCAATCATTAACGAAAGCAATATTTTCGTCTTGAGAAAATTTACTGTATCTTCATATGTAGCGGTATGGCTTATGGCATTATCTTGTTGAAACAGTGACATTATTTCTAAACAGAGGGATTGCGTACATGAATCCCATTTCGGTAGCGTTAGGTATTCAAATTAAAAACGGGCGTGTTCCTTGCCCGGCAAGACCAAGACAGAACCTTCGACCCACAAAAACAATCTCATTCAAGATCACAACAGGCGGCATTACGTTCATTTCTTCGACGATATACACGAACCCTACCGATACTTTGATAAATGGAAACTCTCGAATTGTCGGAGAAAAAAATCTATTCCATTGTTGCCACCTCGAACGATGGTGTCTAACAATTAAGACTATGTACGCGGTGCCGTCGCGTCAATTCGCAGCAAATGTAAGAACGACGTCCACGTAGACCACCCTCACGCAGACGAGTGTGTACAGTTTGGGCCGATATTCGGTTATTATGTAAACCAGGGATGTTAGTAGGAGTAGCAGTTTGACAGTTTGAAAACAATAATGTAGGTGTGTGTGTGTTCGTTCACGATATAGCTGTCTTGACCAGGCGTAATGTCGTCCACTACGTAGTAAATCTATATCGTATGCCCTGTTGCTTGAGAACGTTACCAATGGTTTCGAATGGAACGGCTAGACCTGCCAACAACCCGAGAAACCTCATTCGTCGCCATTAAACATTCATATAATTTTGATGCCATTATTGTTTTGCGTTTAAATAATCTTTTAATCATTCATGCGTTTCTTGTCACACTAAAGCCAACATACTTTGCAATGGGCGTGAATGTAGACAAAGAATAGCCATGAGCTTGTTGTGTAATGACCGGAAATATGTACAAAAAGTACCCAAGAAATAAATTTTTAACTTTATGTTGAGTTTTTATGGTAATGAACTATGCACGATAAACATTACGAATTAATATGGTATATAGGTTTGTTTTTTATTGAACACATGTACATGTTGGACACCCATCTCTGCTATATTCCCCGATATCATATCCTGATTGACATGTCATAACACAATGTAATATAGCCACACATTCTCCAGGAGCAGGGGTACTAGTTTCTAACACCGGGTCTGAAAATAAAAATACAAAATTGTTTATTATTTTAATGCTTTTTTATTGTCATCTAAATGATCAATACTAGTTTACTGCTTCTTACGAAGCTTTGTATTTATAAATACACGCTTAGATCCGTTCCTGGAGCCAAGCTATACTAAGCAAAAAGTATAAAGTGACTTGCTTCCTTGAACAAGCTAACGTGGTTTGAATCTCTTAATGACTATTCCGGCGCGTTATACACTCGACCAGACCGCCTTAACACATGATTGTTTCTGGTTAGTTTAACGAAAAACAACGTTAACTTTGCTCAACTTTTAATCCTAGTAGTAATAAGTTGTTTCTTAATCTACACACAATTTGTTTTTAACTATATTACATTATTATCAAGATTTATCCGTGACGTTGAAATAAAAGATACCAGTTTGTAAGAATGAAATCACTTTAAATAAGTTACATAAACAGACGATACTAACATCTGGAACCAGGCGCAGAACAAGATGGTCCAAAGCAGCCGGGACCTGTAAAAATACATGATATACATACTGAGATGCATAGTAACGATTTATGCATGTTACATACTGAAAAATATGTCTATGTACAAATACATGGCTTCTGAAAATATGTCTTTAACGATTTGTATAGCCATTTGTCGCCAATCATCTGTATAAAAGTTACCAAAAGATACTTTTTTTGGAAATTGATACGTCGACTTGTTTAATATTTTTATCACATTTAAAAGTTACCGATAGTTACAAAACTTTAAAGCAAAATATCCGAATTTCAACCATAGTAAAGCTATTTATATTATGACTGACCATTACTGACACAATGGCAGTCCGGACAACCTTCTCCAGGTTTTTGTGCCAGTTTGTATGTTCCTTTACAATCCATTATACATTTGACAGTATCCGGACATGCCTCCATGGCCGTGAGTTTGTTTTGTGTGTCCGGTGTTTCTGTAGGTCCTACAAAGACAACAATATGTACATAGTTATAAAGATTGCCAACATTTATTTCAAAGCATTGTTTTCATAGTTATAAAAATTGCCAACATTTATTTCAAAGCAATGTCTACACAGATATGAAGACTGGCAATACTTAATTCAAAGCAATGTCTATATAGTTATGAGCAATGGCATTCAAAACAAAGATTTGGGTAAAATATGTTTTGCATGAAAATGAACATGTATATACATTACTTTATAAATAAAATACTTTGTATATAATCTGTAAGAATTCTTTAAGCAGTTCGAATATGCGAAGGAGACAACAGTTTTGTTTATTCAGGGTTGAGAACGTGTTGTTTTTTATCCACCGTATGCACGTGCATTTGGTGTAATGATGGATACATTATTTTCCCTTTGAGGCAGGCGGGGAAAACAGAACACCATACGAAATATAATGAAACATAAAAGTGCCCGACATTACGTTTTGTTAATTATAGACTACTATGACAGAAAAAACATTATTTAAATTAAGATATACAGATGATGTTAATGACAGTTTTGAACGAACTAAGTACCAGATATCGGTTGCAGACACGTGCAGCTTGGACAACCATCTGTACCGGTTTTGAACCCAAACTGACATCGTTGTTGGCATGAAAATTGCTCTCCACAACTCAAAACCTTTTCTACAACAATTCTTTGCACTTCAACTTTATAACTTGTCTCTGTTAATAAAAATGCTATATTTTAGTATTCTCAAACTGTTATTGTTGGCGTTAACTAAGTTCTTGAAAAATGTAAACTCAACGACATTGTAGCAAGATAATACTTACTAATGGATCGGTTTTTTTCTTTCTGTATTTGAAGTTATCTGTATATATCTATATTTAGTCACTTATTATAAAATGGTTTAAGTTAGAATTTATTAAAATTACATCATATGAAATATTGAACTTTTGAATGAACTTTAAGTTTAATAAGTATATTAGTTTGAATCAACTTTAAACGCAATTAAAATATAACATCATAATTCCTTCATGAATAATGTTACTTAATATAAACTCTCCTTTATTTTATTGATTTTAAGATTGATATAAAAAAAGTCACATTTACCAGATGGCGCTATACAACTGCATATTGGACAGCCCTCGTTATCACACTTATATCCAACTGTACACCCATAGGGACATGATAAGGGTTGTTCACAAAGTAATCTCAATCGTGGTGCTAAAAGCATGTTTAAAGAACTATTATCATAGCTATTTCAAAATATGTTTATTTAGCATTAACAATTAACGGAAATACAATGGTGTAAGCAGTTACATTCATAAAATAATGTAGATTTATCACATGTATTAGTTATGTCAAAATGCATTGAAAGTGAATACTAGTAATTGATACTTTTTGCAATAAAGAGGAGTTTTAACAGACAAATATTACTTTAAAATTAACAAATAATTTTTACTTAAGGTTTGTCTTGTTGCAATAGTCTATTAATATGAACCAATTACTGTAATATATTGACTTATACATGCGCATTACTTGCTGACAGCGACAAAGCCTTTGAAGTCTTACGTGAAATAAATTGAGCAAGAAATACTTATGAAACAGTTCTTTTTTTCCACATACATCGTTAAAAACTGAAATGAATACCTCCAGCAATTCGCTGGACAAAATAATTTAAGTTACTCACGGACAGCGTGTACTGCTGAACATTGTGGTCCAATACAGTTTAGTTTTGAAGGTTGAATAATCACTGGTGCCGCAATCTGATGATGACCTGCCAAATATTGGATAAAAATGTGAAATTGTAAGGCAATTATAGAAGCTATTTCCACAGTATTTTGTTCACAAATTTCCACAGATGTATTCACAAAGATCTAGAAAAGCTAAATTATGGATAAGTATACTTATTTCACACCATATAACCAAATAAACTTTTATATACATGTATTGTTTGAACCAGGCAATGTTCCATTATTGTATCTAATCTAGCCTCGTTTAGAACTATTTCTAGAGTCCAAAACTTCAATCCATATCAAATAATATCATATCGTTTTCATCCTAAGAACACACGATATCTATATATATTTAGTAAATATCGTACTTTACTAGCCTCTTTCTTTTTCAGAGCCCAAAAAATCATATCAAATCTTTGTACTTAAGCAACAACGTTCAGACAAAAAGGTAAAAAATGGTGGTGTGAAAGAGGTCATTACTGTATATATTATACAGAAAAATACTAAAATACTTATTCGATTACAAGGCTTGCACATCGGCCAATATAGGTTTGACAGATTTGTACTCGTCCAATAAAATGTAATATTGCACTCAATAATGTATAATAACCTCATAATATAACCTTAATAGAACGAGGAAGCTGAGTTAACTATAACCTCAATACAAACACCAAGCTACATTTACCTGTCACAGGTTCCAGACAGACACAAGTTGGACAACCATTATCACCGGTCTTGTAACCAAGGTTACACTTATCAACACATGAAAACAACCGGTTACATGTTAATGCATAGTCAATTTTAGTAGTCAGAACGTCTACTTGCAGCTTTGTTTCTGTAATAAATATAGATTACATTAATAGTTTTTAACACACATTGTTATAAAATCATATCATGCATAGCTAGGTAGATATCACCATACATTATTCTAAAAATGTTTTATAACAAATACTTTAATAACGCTTTTGACACATTAATTGGTTAGTATAAAAATAAACTTGCTATAGAATTTGAAACACCATTGGTGACTTAGTAGAATATGAAGAGATTCGCTTAATAAGAAATATATGCAGTCAAACCATGTATTATACTGACGTAATATTGTATACTGTACATGTGTAATAAAAAGTTAAAATTGATGGGTTTTCTAGTCCATATATTTGTATTAACAACATGCAGCATTTCAAAGATACTATGTTTTCGTTAAAATGATAAGGACTTAATTTCAAATCACGATGCAGAAAAATGTTCAAATTAAATATTCCAACCATTTGGCATAACTTCACAGAGGAACATCGTGGACGTAAGTTAAGGGTTTACCTGATGGTGAAACACAGTTGCATGTTGGACAGCCAATGTTGTCCCCTTTATAGCCGACGGTGCAACCATTTGGACAAGACATGGGCCGTTCGCAGAGCAATAACACCTTCGGCTCTTAAAAAAAAAATCGAACACGTAACCACCACTTCAGGCTTACTAATAATATATTGTCGGTAGCATTAGAATGTTATAGTAGAAAATGAGAATGTTTCTTATTTTTGAAATAAATATTATATATATAATTGAAATTATTCATTTGAATCCTTAAATACCAACTGAAGCATGAAAACCTTTATGTACAGTTTTATCGCCTACTAAGTTTTGATATAGCCTAAAAAGTTTGAAATATTTTTTGTCATATATATATATATCAAGTTATGAACAGTTCAAAGTTATAACAGTAAGCGGAGGAATATACCTCTATTGCACGTGCATATCGGGCAGGTTTCTGTGTGAGACGAGGATAATGTATATCCTTGTTTACATGTCTTCATACAATGTACGGCGTCAGGACAAACGCGCATTATGGCGATAAAATCAGGTTTTGGTGTAGAAGTTGTTGGTACTGGAGGAGACCTTGCTAAAATGATAGTGGTGTTTGAATTGACTTATGATAAAATTGTCTGAAACACGAGTTTGGTATGTCTTTCCCGTGTGTTTATATATATATATTACATCTTTTGATTTTTTTACCGCATTTAACCTGGATCATACTATATTTAACACATTTTTGGATATATTACTGATGTGTTGCCTCATGAAATTCAAAGCAATTATTTAATTGAAATTTTAAGTGAATTTGCAATAAATCGCAATTTAACGCATAGAAACTTTCTGCGACTAGTTTTTCATCTTAACCAAATCAAAAATCATTACATGTATAGGAAAACAGGGCATTATTTGAGCTAGGTGTCTTGTCAGTTGATGAAAAATGCACAATTTTTGCTTCATGGTAAAAATCTTCGCTACAGTTTTGATTTAAATTTCATCTATTTAGTGCACTGCTTAAAAAGAATTAATGCAGTTTTTACTTTCATAATGATACAAAGTATTTCTCTATGTTCTTACGTAAAATGCAGGTGCAATCTGGGCATTCATTCCTTGAGTTTTGTACCTGAAACCCATGATGGCAATTGTTCATGCAGTATTCTAGTGACGAGCAGGTTCTCTTTGGTACCTCCGTGGGTAAAGGTACCAAGTACAAATGTCGAGTCGGCTTGGTAGGCGACATCAGAAGCAGTGTTTTCTTCGGTGGAACTGTAAAATAAAAAGACAAAACTTTGGAAATTTATTATACATGAGCGTATTTTCCAATCACAATTTTAATGTTATAATAAATATCGGTTTGATGAAACGACCATTGTTTAGAAGTGAAAAAAACGAAGATCTATATATCTTGCCTTTTAGAGAGCTGCGCAAAGTCGTTTCAAACATATCCGAAACATTTTATTTAAAGATCTAATAATACAACATAAATTAACCTGTTGCAAGTGATCTCTTTGTAGTTGGTCGCCATGGAGATGGTGTCGATATAGGTAGGGGTTGAGGTATTGATGGTGTTATAGGAAGGGATCCATGGTTCATCATTTGCATTCCTGATAATTAATAAAATGTCTTTCATTAGGTACCATTAGAGGTTTTTCATGATTAAACTATCTCTAACCTGTAACATAATCATTTACATTTTTACAGTTTATATCTTTGCGGAATGAAAACAGTTCAGTTTATTGACTCGGAAAAAATTATTTGAAATCGAAATTCATGTAAAATTATCATGCAGAAAAATGTTTTAAAGACAGGTTACAACAAACAACAATGTATTACCTTTATAATGTATAGCCGAAATGACAAGCAAATTGGAAACATACAATTATAAGACTAGAGAATTACCATTCTTTGCGGAGCAGGCTGCTCCTATACAATCAACCCCTGGTAATGAGCCACCTGCTTTAACGCCCCCTGTTATTAAATATGAATTATAGCTAACGTATCAGTATATAAATATTTATATATAAACCACGGATTTAGATTACAATATAAATCCGTGTATGTAGATGCAAATTCACTCATAAAAACATTATAGTAGTCCGTTTATACTTCTGATTTTTGTGGTACACATTGCTTCAAATACTTAATTGAATTGAATTTTTACTTCTTAGTTGCATGAATTAAAAATATATATATGAACTCATGTTCGAAATTCTTATATTGCAATTATTTGTATTTCTTGACTTATCAAACTTACCAATTGGAAGTGACGTCATCGAAGCTCCGCTGCCAGGTCCGTTATTCGGTCCGTCTATAAACATTGAATAAATGCTTGTTTATATATGCATATCTTATATTCCATTATATTAATTTTGTCTGCACTAATATTAAATCATATTTAATTGCTCATATATACATGTTAATATACACTAAAACAACAGGTTTTTTAATTAAAAATTAGCAAACGGATTTGGCCCAAGTTCTTTCAAAATAAGCGATCGGTTCTGAACTTATGAGAAAGGACTTCACATTTCTTTATAAATCAGTCTTTTTTGTTGCAATGATTAAGTTCGACTCCCAGGAAACGACTTAAAATGATGTATTGTCCCTTGAATCGAGAAATAAATCCTTTGTATGTTAGGTTAAAGAACGATTCATGCTTCTTGCATTATCTCCTTTCTCTTCTACAAAAGAACGGAAACAAAACTATAACCAAATATCCAAACGCCGCCAAAATCATAAATCGTAACGAGTTAAATTGAAACATAATATGACAACTTACTGCCATTCATACACAATGGCCATGCACACGGTTGATTACTGGTGTGACTTCCTGTGTTGTTGCTTCCAGTATTATAACTGCTCATGCTGTCTTGAAAAGAAGTATCACATATATTACTCTTTATCATTCTTGTTAGGGAATGTTTAAAGCAATGTTACTCTGACCCCTTAACTTAAAATACATGCATATAAAAGCAACTGATGTGCAACTGAAGAACATGTTAGGACTGCGAAGAAAGTTCAGCTTTTCTCTAAGTGAAACGAAACAACTTACTGTCTGTTTTTGTCTCATTTTTCTTGACACACGTACAAGACTGGCAACCATGTTCACTATCACGTGGTCCTAATTTATATCCTTCTTTACAACTGAGCATACATAGTAAAGTCCCTATACAATCTTCATCGTGTCGCGGCTTTGTCTGTCTGTGTTCTGATATAGTTGGTGGTGACATGCCATTTGCTGTAGCATGATGAAATGCAGCAAGCAATTAACGAATATTTACAACCGATTTATAATCACAAAGAGTTGAGATTGCACTTCTTTAAAATTAAAGAATGCGAAATATTTTAATTCATGTATACAAATTGTATCTTTAATTCCATTTAATAAGAATAATTAACTTTTTGTTGTTAACTGTTTTTATAATCATTAAAAAGGTTTCAAATCATTTGGAATTAAAGAAAGTTTTTTTCTTTTACTTCTTAAGGAAATGACATTGCTTTTACTTCTCAAGGAATTGACAAATTGTTTGTACCTTTTAATTTTAAGGAATTGACAAATTAATACAAAAGGTACATGTATACATGTAGATATAATTAAACTTCAATAAATGAATTACCTGGACCACAAGGACAATATTTACATCCCCAATCGTCCTCCATCAAACACCATGCTGGACATACAATATCGTCTGTAATACATTCAGCCATTGTCTCAGACCTGGAGCTATCGTGCATCGAGAAACCCGGAAATGACATAGGTGAGCCCATTATCATGGAGAAAGCCGGATGTTGCATGCTTCTTCGAGGTCGTGAATATTGTTTCAAATGGCGTCTGCTGGTTTGTCCATCATGTGTTGCAATAGTTTCTACGATGTAAGGATATGAATATCAATATCAATGCGTAAGTCATTAAGAATGGGTGGCCCATGCTGTAATCGTATATATATACGTTTTATAGGAAAATTAAGGGAATCAAAAGATTCTCAAATTTAACAATTTCTCTCGCAATGTGTCTTCCAAAAAATCTTAAATGCCGTTATGAAAAAAAATATACAAACCAATAAGGTCACAAAGTAGCGATGGCAAAAGTACACAAGAGAGTGAAAAATAAAAGATTTCCATTATGTTAAATGTTAAATATAATATTGCAATATTAATTAAATGTTAGGTTAAAATGAAATAATCTATTATCATGCGTAAAAATGGACAGGTGCGTACGTTGTTGTTTGAATGGACGCTCCCTGATAATATCCACGATAATTTAGAGTTATCAGACAGTTCTTCTACATATCTTCACTGACACAACCTATAGTTTATTTCCGCCAGTCCATCCATATTTTACTGTCAAAGGGCGGGCAGTACTTATCACAGCAAATAAAAGAAACCACAGATCATAAAATATGTATTATAATCATAAGTCTCTTGAAATGACAAAATATTTCAAAGCGGCTTATAAGTTATTGTACCCAAGAATTAAACACCAAAAGACTTATAATACATATTATTGGTTCTTTCAGTTGTTGTTGAATTACTACCCGCCCTTTCACAGTTAAATATTAAAAAGATACATAATGGTAAGGCAATTAATAAACAATGCAGCCGCAAAAAATAGTGGTATCATACCTCAGGCTTTAGTGATTTGCACGCATAGACGGTTCTTATGAATCACAAACAAAATGTCAAGTGGTTAGTATTTTTTGTTATTTTTCAACATTAAATCGGTTTATTTGAAAATATCTACTCGATTTTAGCTTTATTTAAGGCGTTCCCATAGTTAAATATATCATTATAACCGTGATGCTTTTTATCAATGTCGCAACAAGCCTGAATAATCCATTTTCCAAACCCGGAAGTGGGATGTTTGAGCAAAGTGCATCATTACACGATAAGACTACATGTAAAACGGGAGAAGTATATACATGTAACTACTGACTAGATAAGCGGTTTTGCCATGGTGTCCAGTTGACAGGCGATAATCGATAAACTTAATATTAAATCATATTTAGATAACAGTTCTCTGAATAAATACGTTGATATTTTTTCCTAACAACAGCTACCTAGCTGATATTTCTCTAATTGGGCACAAGACACTTCACCCCCACCCCCCGGACACTTCAGATCCCTCCCAGACAATTCACGCCCCAGAAAATTCATTCCCCAGACACTTCAGCCCGGGACACTTCACCTATCCCTCCCAGACAATTTACGCCCAAGACACTTCATTCCCCCAGATACTTCACCCCCACCAGACTCTTAACCACCACCAGATACTTCACGCCAAGTCCCTTCACTCCCTAAACACTTCATCTCCCAGGCACTTCATCCCCCTCCCAGACAAGTTACCACCCCAGATATTTCACACCCAGACACTTCATCTCCCCCTCACAGACAATTCACCCCCAGACAATTCACTTCTCAAATTTTGAAGACAGTTCACCCCCCCCCCCCCCCCAAAAAAAAAAAATCAGTAAGAGGTGTCTGAGGGGTGAACTGTCTGTAAATCCTCCTATTGACACCATTTACTATGGACAAAAAACAACAACAAAACTTTGACATCAATCAACTTGACAAAATCATGGAGCTAAATATATTGTATATATATCTGTGACAAAATAGCAGGGTGTGCAGCTGATAGCACAAAAATATAATGCATCTAATATCCAGAATAATTTAAGATATTGATAAATAAAAATAAGTAAATATTTTATTTTTTTTGCAACATCATAGATTACAGTTAGACATAAACTGTTAACATAAACAAACATTTATTTTATATACATAAAAATGTCATTTCAAAAAATTATTTAAATAAAAGAAATTATAGACTGTGATATAAGACATGTAGTCTTAAGTTATAAAAAAATACAGATAAGATTATCATGACAAAAAGCCAGAAAATATTAATACAATGATTTTGTTTAAAGTGATCTATGATTACAAGAATAACCCATTAAGCTAGAAAGCTTATTTCCAATGGGGTCCTATGAACTAAAAATCAACTATACAACACCAACAACAAAAACAACTGAATGTATGCAAGATGGAAGTGAATATGTAAGTGGGCAGGATAGCAGAAAAATATAACATAGATGTTAGCCCTTGGGTGGGACAGTCATGATTACATATGACTGATGCATTATGATAAATGTTGTCAAAGATAAACATTGTTCAGGATTTTTTTACCTAAATAAGACATACTACTTCAGTTGTAGATTTTATTTTCATGAACTAAATGCCACTTGAAGTATTATTAATATAATCCTGTTCATTTACAGATGGGAAGAAGAGTACAAAAAGACATCATGTTGAAAATAGAGAAAAGAGAAAATATTCTGTAGATGTTGAAGATGAGGATAATGGTATTTGCATTTTTTTTTTAAATTATACAATTATAATGAGGCATCCATAGCCCAGTGGTTAAGGTTGTTGACTTGAAATCATTTGCCCCTCACTGCTATGGATTTGAATCCTCACAGGTTTTTTTAATTCTTTTATTCTTTTTATATTTCAATAAATTGCATATAAATATAGATAAAGCCTAGTTCCTTTTCTTTACTTTTAGTACTTGTTCATTTAATGCCTGACAAGGCCAAGATGAGAGACATTTTAATATATGATATATATATATCACGGTCTAATTATTTATCACTTTGCAGAAATCAAAAAGAAAAGGAAGCACCACTACAAAGACTGGGATCAATCATCATCAAGCTCTTCCTCCTCTGATAGCTCATCATCATCATCATCGTCATCATCAAGTGACTCAGATTCATCTTCAGGTATGTCATATCAAATAGGTATGTCTATTTGTTTACTACGTTTTGTAGTAGATACATTCTCCCTTAACATTGACAGAATTGATAGACATTTAACATGTAGGGTAAATCCATGGTTGTTTATGTTGGATTTTTGTTTTTAACTTTATTCAGAATACTTTTGAAACAATACCCAGAAGTTTGTTCAGTTTCAGACTTGATAAAATTATAAATAATTGAAGACAGACTTTGATTTGTTTTATTAAAATTGATGCAGAATTATTTATTTATTTATTATTTATGATGGACATAATTATCACATAAATTTTGGATATTTTAGATGAATACTGTAAAAGACTGTCTCTTTGATATTCAAGTTTATATGTTAGTTTTTATAGTGAGAGTAAACTTGAAGAATTTTGAGAGTATGCCATGAAAAGAAGCCAAAGATCTTAGAAATACCTTTGATGGTTAACAAAAAGTTCAATGTTCATTAACAAAAAGTTCAAGTGACACTTGCCTTTAGAGATCTTAATATTAGCTGGTATTTTTTAAAGAAAAAAATTAATATTTCAATATGTGTTTCCTTTTGTATTCAGATGAGGATGTCCAGAGAAAACACAACAGAAAACACAAACATAAAGACAAACACAAAAAGGTATTTACTAACACACATCAGCTGTGTTTTAGGTTCATTCACCAGTTAATTCAAAGGATGACAGTATTTACTATCACTCTGACAGCCATGTGTTATTTATATATTATAATAATTTTATTATTATTATTATTATTATTATTATTAATTTTAAAATGAACTGCATTGTACATTTGCATGTTGATGAAAAGCATATCTCACAAATAAATAAAACGTTAGGCAGAAAAACATTCCATTGTAATAATAGTGTCCATGATTACTGAACTCACATATTTATTTGCAATCTTAGTGCTAAATTATGATGAAAAAAGAGAAATTTTACATAATTATTACCATGAACATTTTGATGTCATGATTTTGATGACATTTTGAAGAAGAGTAAATAACATTGTTACAGAAAAAAGTGAGTTAAACTGAATTAAAACCTTTTAGTAAGCATAAAATAAATGAAATATTTGTTTGTTATGTTTATGTAATAACCAAATATATTTCTCTCCACCTATTTTGATTTTAAACATACCTTCTTCCTTTGTGATGTTTTTTGTAGTGAAATTTGAAATCACAAAAGATGAAATGATGGTTATATACAGGACTTGAGTGATTTGATCACTAAATAAATCTTTATTTGATCAATTTTATTATTTAAATTTAAATGAAAATAAATAATGATACAAAATGTTCTAGGTCAATGCATAGCTTAATAGTTTTGATTGCCAGTGAAGCTCACTTTCAATTGTAGAGTATAAATTACTTAAAGATGAAATTGGGTGTTTTATTCTTACTGCCTTTTTTTCCATTTTATGGATTTCAACCTCTGGTTGTAATGGAATGCTTCCACTCTCACCAATGAAATGGACGTTATTATTGTTTGCAAATGAAATGCTGACATGCACGTGAAACTTGCTCCTTGTATATTGGCTGTGCAGAAGAAGAATAAGAGAAGGAAAAGTAAAGAGGACAAAGGCCCAGTCCAACTTTCAAAGGTATATGAAATTTCAACACCTGTATAGCCGCAGCCACTTTGCCAGGTTAAATGTCTTTGACCATATAGAAATACAGAGATGAACATGACTAAACAGTAGTTTTCTGACTTAGATGTGCAGAACCAGTACCTTGCTTGAACCAAGGGTTAATAACCTTTTTCACCAGTATGACCAAGCTCTACACTGTTGGCTGATCAACTTTAAATATTTATCTTTATATCCCCAAATATGATAATGGACAGTTCCAAAAAGCAAGCTGGACAAGTCCAAATCTTTAGGTTAATGAGCCTTTTTGACAAGTGTTTAAGATAGCAAAATTTGAAACACTTGCTTCTCACCATTGAAGGTTTGAATCCCTTGAATTTTTCATTGTGATGAAGCTGCTGCTTAGCTTACAGAAGGTGGGTGGTTCTGATTAGTTGTGTGCCTGGAATAATGCAAAGAAGGTCAGGTCATCACCTTAGTGCAGAAATGTGTAACTCCTTATATAATTTAATAGGAGTTAAGCTATTACTGATTTAAGATATGATCTGGGTTTTATCTGTCCAAGGGGCATTACCTCTGATTATTTGATAAAAATAATTGTCTGTCTATAAAATATTGACTTAACACAACCCAGAATTAATACATGTACATTGAAAGCTATTGTCCCTGCATATATATTAGCTTAAAAACAAACATTTCGAATTTTACAGTAACTTGTGACAACTTGTTAGACACTTTCTTGTGGAACATATCTGTTCATATATTTTTTAATATTTTTGTTTTTTTGCTTGTTTTCAGTTTATCAAAAATAAACATAAGAAAGGAAATCGTGATGAGAGAAGTGCTGTGTCCGGGCAGAAAATACACAGAAAATTAAAGAAATCCAAAATTGATAAAATGGTATATAATTTAATGTTTACTCTACATTTATGGTTTCGTAAGAATTTTCCTATGATATTCATTTAGAAAATAATACTTTTTCCTGTAAAACAGGTTGTAAAATCTTTTATCACACACCTGTGCCGATTTTGCGACTCCATAAATATGGTATTGCACGGCTGTGCATATATTTAGACGTGACTTCATTAGCGTTATACAAATATAGTGTAATGACGCGCTAAATGTTTACGTTATACTATAGGTGCGTCAATGAAAAATGACATTTGTTTCACTTTAAACTGTCTTTATTTTGGGTATGTGATAAATAGAATATTAAATTCGTATAAGTTTATTACTGAATTTATTGCACTCGTTGAATAAAATAATATTATGCTCGCTCATTCAATATCCTCTATTTATCACATACCGACATCATTTTTTCAGACTCCATATAAACAAAATGGCACAGAAATGTAGATAATATTCAAATGAGCCTTTTTACATGAAATGTATTCTTATACTGTTATATTTTTATATAAATTCATTTGAAGATTTTGAGTTTGTTAACTAAAATCAATGTACAATAATGTGAAATATGTTCAATTATTACTTTTAATGTTTACAACAGAATTAGTATCTATTCTCTTGATAAAAAGTCTTTCATGTTGCATTTCCAGGATAGGTGAAGTAGTTAATTAAATTTGTATTGATGCTGTATTAAATCTTTTGAACTTATACTTGAACAATAAATTCAAAATGGAATTAACCCTCTGCTATAAGTAAAACAATTTCTTTTAAGAAAATCATGTATAATTACTATTTATTAATGTGCATATACTAACAATAGCTTATTAAAAATTATCATTTTACTGACTTACTTGTATTTCAGCGAGACAAAAGTCGAGAAGAAAGACTCAGTTTTCTGAATGCAACTATGTGAACCATAGAAAAAGGGGGACTACTCTTTTGACATTTTGTATTGTATGAAGTAGAGTTCTTGTTCTTGGTTTGCTAAAGCTCAATGGGAAATGTTGTTTTTGAATGATTGTTAATTTTTATATAATAGTAAGTTATTAAATACCTTTTAGTATTTATGGGCTGGGTAAATAATTTTGAAGTTTATGTGAAATTTATTAAATTTTAGCTAAATACGCAGTGTTTTGTTATTTATTTTTTGTTACAATTACCAAAGGCTCCTGAAGACATGGTGATAAATCAGTTTTTTCCATGTTTATTTACATACCAATGTTATATTTAAGATAACTAGCATTATTGTTATCTCACAAAGTATAATTATTAAGACTGCATATCTCCAGACAAATAAGCATTTTAAAAAAATAATCTAACTTATCATAAACATATACTTGTATTAAGAGATTAAGAAATTTGCATGTTGAATTGTTCGTTTTATCACCATATTTCAACTGTTGTACTAACTGATATGCCCAATTTCTCCATATTTGGACTCGCTAAGGATGAAAAAAAACACTCTTATGTTAGCTTTAATAACTTTATATTAAACTTGAAATAACTAGGAATTAGAATAATTAGCATGGATCTGGAAGTGTACTTGAAGGGTAGACTCTGAAAACAAAATTCAAATACAAACTTTGAACTAGTACAGAAGGTTCAATTCGGTATTAAAACTTTATAAACCTTATAATCTTGAATTATGTACTTTAATGTTTCTTTGTATATACTTTTAGCGTGTCCACGTTTGGTATCATTTAAAACAGTTCCTCATGAATGTGTTTATTGACATGACAGTGATATATCAGTGTATTTCAAAATGGTTATCTAGATCATTTTATGAACATGATAATATTTTTAGATTCTCAATGAAATCATAATCCATGCAATGAATATGTGATAGTGGTGTTAGTTACATGTAGTTTGCCCTCCGGATCACGGCATTTAGCCTCAACAGAGCACAGTTCAGTAACTGCATCATGCAATGTGTATGTAAAGACTGGCGAGGCAAATCATAGTTAATTTTGCTGTTGTTTATAAATTTATGAAAAGAAATACTGGAACATATTCTGTGATACAGGTACAAAAACATTTATGTAAAAAAGATCAGTTATGATTTTGATACTGCTCACTAGCTGAAAGACTGTGATTCTGTTTTATTATACTAAAGTGTAACAGGGTTAGAAAAATGCACAGCCTGATCAAGACTCGAACCTTGATTTTTTAGCTCACCTGTCACAAAGTGACATGGTGAGCTTTTGTAAGTAAGTAAGTAAGTAAGTAAGTAACGACTTTATTTAATGAGGCTAACACATTCGGTTTCCCGATCTTCCATGCGGGCCTCAGGATCACTTGTGATCACTTTTCGTCCGGCCGTCCGTAAACTTTTACTTTAAACAACATCTCCTCATAAACCACTAAGCCAATTTCATCCAAACTTCACAGGAATGTTCCTTTGGTAGTCAACTTTAAAAATTGTTCAAAGAATTTAATTCCAAGCAGAACTCTGGTTGCCATGGCAACCGAAAGAAAAAACTTAAAATATCTTCTTTTAGAAAACCATAAGAGCTAGAGCTTAAATATTTGGCATGAAACATCATCTAGTCAGTGTCTACCAAGTTTGTTCAAATAAATGCCCTGGGGTCAAAATTGGCCCCGCCCGGGGGGGGGGTCATTGATTTTCCTTATTTGTATATAGTAAAAACTTTAAAAAACCCAAATAGCTAGAGCTTAGCTATTAAGGTATTAGCACCATAATGCATTACCTCCGCTTTGAAGAGTATTCAAATAGGCTAGAACTACTGTTAACTACATTGAAAATGAGGGCCATGGGTTCAATCCCCAGAAGGGTCAACTTAAATTTTTTAAATTAAGCTCCCTAAGTAGAAAAATGGTCAGACACGTGGTAAAAATGGGTGGGGTAGGGTTTTTAACATTTTTGCACAGATTTCATAAAGTTTAAGTAGAAACCATAATTTTGCTTTTTTGGATTGTTAGCTGAATGGTACTATTTGTTTCTTACCAAAAATTAATGGGAAAACATTTTTCATTAGAATGTTATTGCAGATTATTTAAAGGTTCCTACTTTCTTAAAAAGGGCCCTCATAACATCCTAGCTTGAGTACAGAAAAGTGGCCATAATTTGATTTCCATACGGTAAACTTTGTTTAAATTTTGCATACAGGTGTACTTTAAGGTATACATCTGACTTATGATGTCAAATTTTTAGTTCCTGATAGTGCCCATTAGGGTCCTAATACCTTAAGCATGAAACATCTTCTAGTGAGTGTCTACCAAGTTTGTTCAAATAAAATCCATGGGGTCAAAATTGGCCCCACCCCAGGGGGACATTGTTTTTCCCTTTATGTATATAGTGAAAACTTAAAAAACCGCCTTTAAAAAAAAACCGCTAGAGCTAAGATATTTATGGGTGTCTACCATTTTAGTTCAAATAAGGGCCCTAGGGTTAAACTTGGCCCCGTCCTGGGGATCATTGATTTTCCTTATATGTATATAGTAAAAAGTTTAGAAATCTTCTGTTAAAAATACAAAGAGCTAGAGTTTAGATATTAAGCATGAATTATCTGCAAGTGAGTGTCCACCAATTTTGTTCAAATAAAAGCCCTGGGGAAAAAATTGGCCCGCCCAGAGGGGGCAGGGGTGGCATTGTTTTTCCCTATATGTGTATAGGAAAAACTTAAAAAATCTTCTTAGAGCTAGCGCTTAGATATTTATCATGAAAAATCTTTAAATAGGTGTCTACCAAGTTTGTTCAAATAACAGCCCCTGGGTTAAAATTGGCCCCGCCCCGGGGGCCTATATACAGGTGAGCGATTTCATGGCCATCATGGCCCTCTTGTTATAATTAGTTCGTTTCCAGGATTGAAACTGAGTAGCCTTTGCCCACCAGTACAGAGCAAGACCAAACTATACATCGGTTCAGTCTGACCAGTCTACTCCTGACTGACCAACTTCAAAATAATCATCTTGGCATCCCCAAAATTGAAAATGGATTGTCTAAAAAATGGAATTTAGACAAGTCACTTTAAGAAATTCTGCAGGTTAAGGTATCTCGCGGCATAAGGCAGACTGAAACGAAAAATGACTAAGTGTCAATATTTAAACAAATATCAATAATAGAACATACAATGATAGTTCATGAAATAAACATAAATTGATAAACAAATATACTAAGATAATAGCTGGACATTTTATTTTTAACTTTTTCATTGAAGCTACATTATTTATACAAGTGTATTTAAAGTTTGTATCAAGTTTTCGCATTTATTTATTATAGACTGTCGATAAATATACATGGTTGCTGTCAAGTGTTAAATATATTACATGTTGTTATGTTTAGATTATCGAACATGTTCTAATTATAGAGAACACTCGACCTCCTAAACCAGTGGTGAACCCGGGCAAATTTACATTTACTTACATTTAAATAATTGACAGATTAGGTCATTTTATACAACATTGTGAATTACCACAATTATCCTGTATCTAAATCGAGGCGAAACCGTACCAATAAAGTATTTATGGTTGAAGATTTCACAGTTGCTTGATATGTGTAATTTAAATAAGCAAACTTTCAATTTACTTTACCGCTTTTGGTAATTTATGTGTGATTTTGTTAAATTGATATTAGATTTTTTTCTAAGTTTTAATTAATGAAAGGGAATAACATTTTCCAAGTTTTAATTAAAGGGCGTCGACTTAATTTGATTTTTTACCCGCAGTTGAAATATGAAAGGTGATTTTCTTCTAAATAAATACTTCTTTGTTTTATAGCAACATTAAAATGGACACGGAATGGTGTTAGATTGTTTGTTAGTGCTTCTGCATTTAGAAAACTGCGTGAGAATTATGTCCTGCGTTTTTCTAAATGAGCGTGTTTAACAATAAATTTGTGACGACAAGTGTTACCCATTGAAACGTCAATAAATCAGTCCACGTGATCTATTGAGCACTTTTCAATATGACGTGAAATTATCAGAAGTGACCGCTCATTGCGTAGGGTCAAGCGCTTGTAAAACTAGGATCAGCTTTTGATCAAGGTCACGCTGACCCGCCTGGATCAGTCCAGGTGCGATAGATTGTATTTAACTTCATTTCCAAGTTATGTAAACAATAAGCACGAAATTATCGAAAAAAAGTACGGCCACTGGACGATGGCCAGCGTATTATGTAAACATTATAGTTGTGAGCAGGTTCACACATTATATTTAATCTTTTCACAGACAGCGTTATATATAAGTTCCTGTAATGTCCGGGATGTTATGACCTCAGACCAGGTACGGGAGCAATTTCAGTTATGTATAAACATACAACACGTTTAAATTATTTATCGCTCTTATAAACATTGAAGCTAACCTCAATTGCGGCATTATTACTAAAAGCACGTGCTAGTAAATTTGTGTGAAGTAAACTACATGTATATATTATTGCACTTAAAAGAATATATTTCAGTAAGATTTGCCAAGTCTTTAGTGACGTTTTTAGTTTTTTTATTAAGGCAAATGCAGAATCAGCAATCCTATATTTTCTTTCTTACCTACTCTCTTTTCCGAAATTTCCCAAAATAGTATGTATCAGGTTTGCAATTTATGGTTGGTTTTCATAATGTTGATAACGACGTGCTAAAATTTTCATCCTTCACGATGCAATAAAGTCCGCGTTTCTTTTGAAAATGTCTCAATTCCATCTGTAATTGTATTTACAAAAGATGGACGCATGCTAATTAACGCCCTTACACTACTTTTAATTTCTTCTATTGATAATGTTTCCCAATATATCCCTAAAGAAAGCGAACAAACGGTCAGTTTAGGGTCACACTAGGGGCGAAAATGGCACTAACTCGGTATATGGACAGATTGCGAGTGTTTTAATCAAGCTGCGAGTCCATATGTCACCTTGTACAATACTGCGCGTAATTTTCGGGTATTGTGCACGACAATTCACATCATATCGCCCAACACTTGGCTCTGTTTGAAGTTCCTGAGATTGAAACTTGGAGAAATTGAGGACATGGAAAGGGTTCTCAAACTTAAAATGTGTTCATAGGGTTCTCCTTATTGATATGCAACGCAACGCGAAGAACAATTTAGAAGGTGTCATACTTAAATTTATGATAAAACAGATAGCGATAAAGATGATGAAAATAGTGTGATGATGATTA